TAGCACGTTATTTTTTGCTTACGATTTTGCATTTTGGATCAGAACGACGGCATTTCTTCTAGCCGAGGTGGGGCAGTATAAATTCGGAGTTCTTCTCATCCGCCCAGACCCCAGTCTCGGCTAGGGCTCGGCTGCTCAGGCTCAGGCTCAGGCCCAGCTCCCCTCGGTGCGGTGCCCGCCCGCTCTTGCATGCCCTGTTTGTGAAAAACCGGAGGTCCCCTCTGGCGAACCTTGGCTGGCTCGCGTGCCGCAAGAAGGCACGGCGCGGCCCCGCGCAGAAGGGTAGACGGCGGACCCGCCCCCGACCCGATGTTCGCCAGGTCTGTGGTGCATCCTCCGCAGCCGTCGCTTGCCAGCAAAGGGCTTTCTCTCGCCGTCCCTCTGTCTCTTGCATAGACACACAGCTGTCGTGGCTTCCAGCTTTGACCGAAAGCTTTTCTGACGAGAGCACTTGAGAAGAATCGTGCATGAGAGGAAGATGCTCCCCACAACGGGGAATTTGAAAGACTGCACCTCGGCCCGAACCGTCGGCTCCGCGTGTCCTGTCATCCATCTCCGTCTCTGCGGCGGCCGTGCAGCTGAGGCCTCCCGGACCTTTGGATCCAATGCTTTCCGCTGGTAGAAAAGCGCGGCTCCAAGAGTCTGATAGATTGAGAAGCCTGGGCCTGGGCGCGGCCTGGCGCAGGTACGGGCCTCTCGTGAAGCTGCGCATCTTCGATGATGTGCTCTATGCCCCACCCTCGGCCCCTGATGCTTCTCACATCTGACCGTCGTTAATTGCGTGTGATTTGGGGCGCTGCTTGGTAATGGTAGGTCGTTGCGGATCCGGAGATCGTGGACATCGTGAACCAAATCCCCGACAAGCGGCTTCCCAGCGAGGCCGGAGCCGGGCCGCGCCAGGCGGCGCGCTGTGGGCCCCTGCTTTGCTGCTCTTCGCTGCGAGGTCTTCGGCTGCCCGGCTTTGGCAGGGCAGGGCGTCTTCATCGCCGACGGCCAGCGCTGGGAGCCGAAAGCCCAGAGGAGCTCTGCTTTCCGTGAAGACACGCCCGGCGGCTTGGGCCCAGGTTCGCGCGCCAGACCTTTCAGGCGCTCTGGGGCGCTCTGGGTCCCCTGCCCCGTTTTCTCGCTGGCCCTCGGCAACTCGGC